TAACATTATGCAAATCTGTGATTCCCAAGCCATAGTCTTATGCAAATCATGCCGTGTGGCGTAATTGTCTGCTGACCAATCAGTGGCTGTACTTTCAACCATCTGTCGATGACCGTTACGACTAAAAAAAACTTCGCTAGGTCTTACTTTCAGGGGGAGGTCTTATATTTCGCAATTCAGCAAAATCTGTGCTAGGTCTTATTTTCTGCGGATGTCTTATTTTCGGGGAAACACGGTAACAAACACAGAAATAAATAACACAAAATAAATTGTAGCTATGTGTCGATTCCGCGCGACACATCCGAACATGTAAGCTGAACAATAGTGTGGGGGAGTGAGTAATCAAGGGTTGCGTGGCGCTCAAAAGACGAATCGACGAGATTTGAAAATCGCGTAACTCCGGGTTCAGGTAAGTCGAGGTATTACTGTATTCAACCTTCCTAAGAGACAAACTGAAACATCTCCTGCATCAAGTCTACAAGCGAATCCTTCAAACTCCAGGTATTTACCTCTATGCGCAATTTCATGTCTCTCTCTAGCGACCACCTACGGTGTATCGGCCTGTTTATTTCGCTGTAGAACAATGTATATATATAAATATTTTCCTTCTCAAATAAACGGTATTTGTTTGTTTAATTGGTATCCGAGTGAGTCACTTTCACCTCGCTGTCTAGCCGACCGCCTCCATCCGGAATTCGATCGCCGTCACCGCTTCTGCATCCTGATGAGGCATTAGAGCAGGGGTGGCCGACCTTTTCAGAAGGCAGGCCAAATTTCAGAAATAATATTTCCTGCCGGGCCACGCACCTAATTTTTTTTATTTTTTAATTAAAGTAAACAAGCAAGTGCGCTACAGCTTCAACCACATCGTCGCTTCCCAGTAGATGAGATCGTGGTCAAACACTTTAATGTAAATGTAAATGGTTTAATGTAAAAAAAAACAAAAAATAGGTATATTTATTTTTTTGAAGAAAATAAAACATAACCGAGAATCAAATATATTTACTAGACAATTTAAAAATATTTAAAAGTGAGACATCTGACTGTTTTACAGAACTAAGTGCATCAAAATTGATCTCCACTGATGTCGCTACACGCAAACAGTTTTCCAAATGAACATCAGTAATTCGATCTCACTTGTGATTTGATGTACTTCATGCGACTAAAAAGCTGTTCACAAGCATGTGTTTCCACATAGTGAAACCATCGACAGAGCATGTTTGTAAAACGCAGGATATTTATCCTTGTCCAAATACGTTTCATAGAACTCTTCCAAACCAACTTGATGAAATTTCTCCAACGTTTCAGGGTTTACTTACTTATAGAATCGATATGGTAGACAGGCTACTTGGTTAAGTAGTTTGAACTGTAATTATAAATATGTTAAATATGTATTTTAACGTCGATTGCAAAATCTCTCCAGATGCATTGGCGATAATAAAACGAAACTTTGTCAAGCTGGACTGATAGTAGTTATGAGCCCGATAGCATTGTGAGCTTCCCGAAAACGCCGAAGACCACAGAACACATATAGCTGAAGTCTCATATTAAATTTTATCAACATCTAGCGTCGGACAAAAAACTAAGTAACCTTGAGTGTCAAATAGCTAAAAATCTATGAATTTTTCCAAAAATGAGAGATATTTCAAATTTCTCTTAGCTATAATTTAAAAATACATGATACGAATAACTCATGACGTAATGTTCTTTTGGTGATATGTACAATAGTTAACATTTACTAAAGTTTATTTAATTGCTGAGCGCTTTTGATATTGTTAACATTTACGTTCATTTGACCTAGCTCCGAGGGCCTCGTATTGGCCACCCCTGCATTAGAGCTTCCGCCCCTCCAGTCACACTGACATAGAAACGACAGTGAGCATTTATAGGTCTACATTTTTCAAATTGCAGCCAAATATATAGGCTAAGACCCTCTCACGAAATAACCACCTGTACGTAACAAAAAAATTACTCCTAGAAAACTAAGATATAAATACAGTAGAGCCTCCATTATCCGGATTGTTCAAAATAACAAAAATTTTACTAATTTGCTGATTTGCACTTGGCAAATTACGACACTGTTCATGTACGTGATGGAATGCATAACTTTTTTTGTTTCAACAACGTCTCATCCGGCACAGTGGTCGTAAACTCTTAAATATATTTTACGTAGTAATAAAAATATAACTTGACATACGTATTTATAAATAATTTATATTCAAATTACATCATTTCTATGACCAAGGGCGGCGTAAAGCAAGGACAATGTGGGCCACCGCCTATGCCTCGTGGTCCGAAGGGCCTCGCGCCTCGAAGGTTTATGCATTACTTAAAAGCCGCGAACGTGACGAAAAAATTTTACTCGTCATAAAACGATAAATAGTTTGTCAAATTTTTATTCATAAAAATGCAGTTTCAACTGCTTTTTATTTTATAAAATCCGTCTTCTTGCGCCACCAGAGGGCCTTTTAAACAATAGGTAGTCTGTTAGCGTTGGTCAGTAGTAGTCCAAATTCAATACGAACGTTTGTTTCTTGAAAATTTGATCACGATTTAAATACAGTATTTACTTTTAATATTACCGATATGTCATCGAAAAGAAAACGTGTTTTATTATCATTAAAAGACAAAGTATTTGTTTCGATTATCCGGACTACCTTCATCTCCAATTAGTCCGGATAATCGAGGTTCTACTGTATATTCATGAGCCATGTTGTTAACTTGAGAGTATGGTCCCTTTATTAAAGTCTGTATCTCATGCCTCACTTCCCATCAAAAAGGCCAGTAAGATTGGATTATCGTGAAGCTCCAGCTTGTTATTGACAATATTCGGGTCTCCTATTTTCAGAGCTTCACAAAACACATTCCAAAATTCGAGCTGAACGGGTACTGAGACCAGCAGAAATATGGTTCGAGAGTATTTTTTGAAGCATCTCGAGTGGTTATTTTTTTCTGCTTAAGTAAATATGGCGACGTCCATGCACAAGGGAGAAAGGTTATTCTTCTATGGAGAAATTTAAAATTATGATTACAGCAGTTAATCGTAAATTATGTTACATAACTATGAAAATCATAAAATGTACTGTACGTTAACCTAAAAAATCAGAGTATCAAATCCTTTATACTCAAAACTACCATGCCAAATTTGGTTTCTTACTCATTAACCCAGGCATGGCCAACATACGGCCCGCAATTAATCTTTCAATATTAGCCACCCAAGTCCGAATAGCTCGATGAAAAATTCTGACGCCTAAAAAAAAAAAAAAGGTCAACAACTCTGTTGTAACGTTGTGACTTATCTGTAGTAACTTGATCTGGGTGTCGGGTCAGGGGTGAACATTCCAACATATCTTTCGGGAGTCGTGGAGAGTTCTTGTGTAGTTGTCACCCCAGTCGGTTGTATCGAGAAGGAATAAAGTTAATTGTTGATTAACTACGTGTTTTTTTATGTGCAACAGTGTCGAAAACAAAAGCGATATAAAAAACTTGCTGTGCGTTTAGAGTTAACCCTCCATTACAAATGTCCTAACTACAGCGTAGAATGTTGATAAAGGATGATAATGTGAAAAATGTATCTGTAATCTCTATGTACAATTTAGTCTCTACCGGGTGACACCACAATGAGATCTCGCATCACCTTAAAATCTTCCTAGGCAGCCTCTGGTTCAGCCCGTGAGAAAAGTTTTCTTTCCAATTCGGCCCGGGGACAAAAACTGTTGGTCACCCCTGCATTAACCCATCTTGAAATATTAAATGAAATAGATGCTAACACACACGTGCAAATTTTTTCCCGTGTTTTACTTTTTTAGGGGTTTAGGTCTCAAAATGTGGTTTGTAAAAGAAATCTGGGCGGTTGAATTTGACACGATTCGAAGATATGTTATGTACTGTACTGTATGTACATAACAAGCGGGAAAAGGGAGACAGCTAAGTGACCAAGGTGGATGATTTGTTGGCCTACCCAGGGCATAAAAAAAAGCAACCCCAGGAACTTTTCATGGCAACCTGTCCAGAATAATTTGGGCCACATACCTCACTACCTGGTCAGCCCCATTGTGAGTCTGGCAAAGCCCGTATAGAGAGGTCATCTTAGTGTCCTCAAAGCAGTTTAAAAAAAATTATAAACAAAATGCATTTATGTTATTAGCAACAAAATCTTTAATATATCTTAAATCAGGAAATATGTGAAATATAGACATTACTAAAACCTCAAAATATATTTTACAATAAGTAATTTTTTAAATTTAGTATCAACATTACAGCAAATTTAAATATATTTTAAAGACACAAAGACAATATTTTAGAAAATAATAATTATTCTTTAATTAAAAATAATTTTTTAATTTATTCCTCCAACTTAGAAATAAAGAAAAGGAAAAATTGTTTTGTGTAGATTTATTCAATTTATACATTTAAATGTATAAATAAATAAACAAACATATTCCCTGAAATATTCAATAATGAAATTTTAAACATTGGTTTGTACATCAAATAGTTTAGAACATTTTCTAAATTATTTAAATCAAAATAACTTTCTCTAGGCACTTTACTCATTCTTGCCAAGATAAGATACTTGTCCTGGGACAATTTTCTCTTCCAGTGATGATTTTCTTGGACCGTCACTAACCAATTCCTTTGAATCTGATGGAGAAACAGTTCCTGTATCCTGAGTACTGATGCCATCTTTCAAAAATTGTTCTTTGAGCCTTTCGCAAGACTCTGTTTCAGACAAATTAACGTAAGAAATTTGTCCCGGGACAATCTTTTCCTCTGGTGATTTACAAGATCCGGGTATTTCTTGTCCTTCTGAGCTATATGCACTTGAAGGCGAACTGTTGTTTAAATCTCTACATTCTTCTGACAATGCTTTCTCAGAATTGGTAGACAAAGATTTTGCAATACAGTCTTCTTTTTTAATATCAACGACACTTCCCGCCTTATATAAATATTGATCTGAAGTAGTCTCTTGAATTTTATCATTTTGAAAGTCCTCTTCTAAGGAAAAGTCTTGAAAATTTGTATCATCAGTTTTATTTTTCAAGTCTATTGGATCCAACAAATCTACTTCTTTAGAATGGAAAGTATCTGCTGGAATGTCAATCATCTGTTCATCTTCCGATTCTTTATCTAACTTTATTCTACTTAAACACATTCCAGTATCTGCTCTTATTGAGTCAGATATAAAGTTTGTTTCGGAATCTTGAAAAGAGTTATCAGCAAAATCATTCTCCTCATTAATTATTTTATCGTCCCCGTAAGTTTCCACGCTGAAAAACGATTCTTGTATTTCAGTTTCACCTTTATCATCACTTTTCATTTCATAAAGCATTTCGGGCATTTCACTACCCATCACATCATCAATTATATCCTCGTCATATTTCTTAGCACTAACAGATGTTAACTCTGCTTCATATTTGCAACTGTCGTCAGTGTTTTCATAAAAATCTTTTGAACATTCTTCTGCTTCATAATCATCTTTATCTTTGGATATTACATCATCATCTTCAATTTTTCTATCATTTGTTTCATCAGTCAATGTTTGTTGAACAGAACTTTGAATTTCAACTTTGGATGGTTGATTTAAAGGTATATTTTCAGATTTAATGAAATCACTTGTATCTTCTGCAGACGTATAAAAAGTGGTATCAAGTTCTTGAAATTGAGAAAGATCATTGTTTGAATCAACTGCTGAAATATCTTCAGGAATATATTTCATTTCTGGCTTATGTTTACTTACTGGAGTAGACATCACTTCTTTAGTAGAAAACTCTGAATCATTTTGCTGTACACTACTGTTAATAGATTCCTCGGAAATAACAGATAAATCTTTTTCCAAAACTTGAACATTTGACGTATTGTCAATGTACTGTTCTTCAATATTTTCTACCATCTCATCATCAGAAACATTTTTAATATTTTCCTGATCTGCAGCAGATACCAATCCTTTCTCAATTAAAATTTCAGTAATATTGGTTCCATTATCTAAAAGTTTAACTTCATAAAAAGTGATGTGGTTTGCTACACATTCTAGTTCAAAAGTTTTTTCATCTGATACCACCATTTCTTGAAACATCAAGCAATGTTCTTCATCCCAGTTGTCATCATGCATTTTTGTCAAACTACAATTCACAGCCTGAAATGGAAGATCTTTAAATTCAGGCAAAATTTCTTTGATACTATCTTTTGGAACAACTTCTTGGTTACCATAATCTACATAAATAACCTTCACATAATCATCATCTTGAATTGCTGTAATCATTGCTCTGTACCATCCTTGATCTACAGAGTAATAAGCAATACACAAGTCACCGACCGCAAATTCTTCTAAAGTAGGCTGTTCACTTTGATATTTGTTTAAAATATCTGTCATGAATGTATCTAACTCCAATTTATTTTCAGGCAACTGAACATAAAACTGTGAAGGTGATAATGCATGTGAAATTATAACCTCAATTTTACAATCGGAAGGTAAGATGATATATGAATACTGTACTTTTTCTGGCTGTGGAGTATGTGTGTATAAACCACTTTCTGTTAACTGATTGTAAATATTTTCCTTATCTGAAATGATACAAACAGATAAAGGTAGTTCATTACTAATTATTGTAATATCAATTTCTTTCTCATTTATTAAGTCTTCTAATAGAGTTCTAGCTTCATCTAATTTTTCAGAATTTGCAGTTAAATCTGCAAGTGAACATTCCAAGGAAAAAGCAGGAACAGAGATGAACTTTTTATGCATATTTCTTAAATCATCTTTTGTAACTGTTTCAGAATTTCCATAATCAACAAACTTAACAGTAACAGAACTTTCTGAAAGGTGGATAATTTCTGCTCTGTACCATCTTTCATCGAGACTAAATTTTGTAACGCATGGCTGAAACATTAAAATTCGCTCGATATTCTCATGTTTCTCATGTTCTTTTTCATAGAATGCCTGCAATTTTTCTTGTAACTTTTCCAAATTGTCAAGTTTATTTACTGGTGTAACATAAAATCTGTCAGCTGATTCAACATGAGAAACAATAACACGTACTGTTCCAGTTGGTCTGTATCTAGGAATTATAGGAAATGTACCATCTTCAAGATGAACAACTTCATCACTTTCACTTCCTGATTTATTATCTGGAATATGCCAATCAAAATGATCAAAAACTTCATTGGCAAAAACTACATCAGCAGGAACTTCGTCAGCAGAAATTGCATCAGCAATAACTTCGTTGGCAGAAACTGTATCAGCAATAACTTCGTCGGCAGAAACTGCATCAGCAGGAACTTCGTCGGCAGAAACTGCATCAGCAATAACTTCGTCGGCAGAAACTGCATCAGCATTAACTTCGTTGGCAGAAACTGCATCACCAAAAAGTTCATCGGCAGAAACTGCAAACTTCTCTTGTATTAACAAATCTGAAATATTATCATTTTCTTCATTTAAAATCATTACTGGATATGGATTCTCTTCATGTTTAAAACAAATATTTAAGGTTTTGTCCAATATATATGTTGTAAACCAGTCTATTGCTTCAGTAGACCATTCGTCATCAATAGGTTTAATGTAAGCTAGACGACATCTATAACAAAATGATGGAATTTTGCAAAATTCTTCTTTTAAAATTTTGACATCTTCTCTTGGAATGACATCAATATTTCCATAGTCAATAAAAAAGACAGTAACGTCATCACCTTTAGACAAACAACAAAAAAAAAAACAAAAAAAAAAATGTAATTAGAAACATTTTATGAAAGCTCATGACTCAGAAATTAAATGATTTAGAATATATATAATATCATAAGAAAATCTTGAAAAAAGCCTTCTAACTATTGGTTTGGAGTAAGAATTCTGGTTAATCAAAGAATCACATTGAAAACTTTTTTAAACATTTTATCAAGTTTTCTAATGTTAATCTAGTCAAACCCCATTATTATGTTATCAGTTTATGTGAAATTGCTTTGCAGTCCTGTGGATGAGGGAAAATAGGAACTTCAATGTTATCAAGTTTCATTTGATTAATACAAATTTTATTAACACAAAGTGCCAATTTTTATGCTGCTTCAACTTTGTATTAATTAATGGGGGTTTGATTGTACTAATAATCTTAAATTGCTAAACACTTATTTGACATTTTTCTAATGAAAAATGACCATGAGACACAGACCAATAAAATGGCAGTGCCTCTCCAGCAGTAAATGAAGAGCAAGCAGTGTAATGTTGTCTAATTGACAATCATCAGCACATGCAGGTACAGTGTGAAGATAACTGTATCTACATGCACTGATAACTGTTTCAGTTTTACATCACAAAAGTCAGACAAGAGTATGCTGCTCTTCCTTTGTGCACTGTTGGAGAAGTGGGACCATTTTCTTGGTCTGTCATCTTATATTCTTGCTCATCAATAATGTTGGCAATCACAGTTACTATTAACTCTGAATGGAAGCTTCATGTGTCAAAATTACTCCTTCATTTCTTACCCTCCTAAATTTTAATGGCACTTTTCTGATTTGCAGTTTTCTGATTTCCCACCTTGTACAATAAAAGAAATAAGTCACCCCAAAAGTCAATGCAAACAATCAAAAAGTCGTTTAAGAATATATGATGTTGATAATGGCCTATAGGATATAAAGAAAATACATGGCAGAAAACTGGAACAAGATTATTGCAATTTCATGTTTCTAATTCATGAATTATCTATTTAAAAACCTTCAAACTTTCTTAGTACTGAATACTAAATAGGAATACATACTTTTGAATTTAAAAAATGTTGAAAAGCATAAAATATATTGTAAAATATAAAACAATTGGTACAATCTATTTTTCTTTATACTTTGTTGGACTGCAATTTGAAAAAATTGTAGACCTATAAATTCTCCCTGTCGCCATCTTTCTGTCCATCTTCTTTCCTTAATCTCGAGAACAGTTAGATGAAAGACAAAACCAGATATGGAAATCGTATGGAGGAAGGCCCAATTAACTATATAAAAATTTCTAATGCAAACCAGAAGTCATGTTATTTCATTTCAAAAATTTCCCCTGAAAGATGTTAGATAGATGACTGGCACAACTCTAATGTTAAAGGAAAAGTATGATGTACAGGGGTAATCCACTACTAATTTGAGGTGGAGACCAGCTATTTTACATTACATAAATTTAAAATTGCAGCCTGGCATTGTGACAATGTTACAATAAATAATTGCTCATTCTGATTTGTGGATTGTGTATCTGAACAAGAAAAACAGGAACACATTGGATATTGAGATGGATTTATTAACCTGCAGACACATAGGGAGTGGGAAATTTTTAAACACTCTTTCACAATTATTTGACCATGTAACTGCAGGGACATGCATAATGAATACTCACAATACAGAGAGTACTCTTTTCACATTTTTTTGTTACAATGCTCTCAATTTTAATAGTGACTTCCCCTGTACATCACACTTTTCCTGTCATCTATCTAACTCCATTCAGAAGAAAATTTTTGAATTGAAATAACACAACTTTCAGTTCAAACTGGAAGTTCATATATGATTAATCAGGGCTTTCTGCCCATAAGCTTTACATATCTGGTTTTTATTTTCATCTATCTAGCTCTGTTCTTTAGATTAAGAAAGGATAGACAATTAAATAGACTCCAATGGAAATTTATAGGTCTGCAATTTTTAAAAATTGCAACCCAATATATCACTGTAATAGAATTTTCATATTATGGAATGAAAAGTTTAGCAATTAATATAAAGAAAAATATTAAATTAATGATCATTTTGGACTTTACAACTAAAAACCTGCTTAAGAAAACAATTTTATGTCTCTCATTGATGCTAAAATCTATAAAGATTGTCAGTATTGTATTATTAGCCTTTAAAGCTTTGGAAATATCAAAGTCAATCCAGGTATGACAAGATAGGAAATCATAACTGGAGAATCGGATGAAACTTTTGTTGACCTTGAAAATGATTTTCAAATGATTTTTAAAAAATCTCATTTTACTCTTCATGAATTTAAAGTTTTTTTTTTAAATAATTAATGCTTTGAACATCTGTTTACACAATGCTGATTAAGAAGTATCAGGATTTAATTAAACAAGTGAAGTCAAAATTGTCAAAAATTATTTTAATACATGTTCAAAAGTTTTATTTCTGTTGAGGGCAAAAATACATGTTTGCCCTCAACAGAAATAATTATGGGCATAAATGACCTTAAAGGTATTTGTCAACAAAAACATATCATCCAATTCTATATGCATGATTTCTTATGTAGCTACAGTAACAAAATTTATATATCTTCAGTACTTTTGAAATGCAATGGATTTCTTGACTCACCTACAATTTTAATAAGTTGAACATCTGTAGTCTAGAAATCTATAATCCAAGAATACTTGTAATCCAGCATTATTTGCAAAAATTATAATTTTGTGAAATCTAAAATACTATATCACTGAATGAAAACAAAATAAACACCATGGTCCAGAAAAGTCCATATCCCAGAATATCACACATTCCAATGGTGCCAGATTAGATATTCAATTGTACTGTTATATCTATTATTCAATTTATAAAATTATACATACCATTTACATCTTTGATTACAGCTCTGTACCAATTATTGTCTTCAGAATACTTAGCGCAATAAATCTTATTCTGGGTAATGGTGTTGAGAGCTAGATCTGTTGTGGAAAGTGAAGCATATGCATCTGTTAAATCTGCCATTAATTTAGATAAATCATCATCTTTAGAAGAGAGCTGAACAAAAAATTCAGATATGCTGTTTACTGATGTCACATATCCTGGCACACTTTCATGTGAATCTGGCATTGAGGGAAAAACTTCTCCATCTAATTTAATAAAATACTTGTTAAAAATTTTATAATTTAATTTTTTTATTTTTGATTTTCATAAATTAATTTCCTTATATTAAATTTTTAAATAATTATTTTTAGATCACTATATACTAAATCAATGAACTGAAAGAAACAATTGTTCTCATCAGCACTCCCTCTGTGATGGTTCCAACATGTAGCCTTCTCATCTTCCCATGGACAGCAACATATATTGTGTTTAAAATACAGTAGAGCGTCAATTTTCCGAAAGTCAATCATCCAAAACGTCAATCATCTGAAAGAATTCCAGTCGGCAAATTTAAATTTTTGCCAGTGCTGTGGCGCTTCAATCTTTGGCTATGTCTTGGGCTACTCAAATATTTTACGTTTTTGATACTAAATTAACATCTGAAGTATAATTTTTTATTATTTTTATATTTTTCAATATATTTATTTTGTTTGTACAAAATAAAAAAATAATTTTTAACGATACAATAGTCTTTGTTAGGCTTAACATCGACGAAAATTCAACGCAAAGCGACACGCAACGAGGAAAAATTTCGAAATCGGATACGTTAAACTATTTTTTTGTATGTAAATCAGTTATCCAAAATATAAGTTATCTGGACAACCCCAGTCCCCAATTGATTCGGAAAATCGACGCTCTACTGTATATTAATTACATCTTTATGAATTATTAGAATCAACAATTGGTTAATTTGAACATTTCATTCATTAAAAATTTCACTTACTACAACATTATACACAACTATGCTAACAATGACTGTAGTGAATGAAATTAAAACATTTTGTCAATAAGAATGCTATGTTACCATCATCAAATTTCTGAAAATACATACCTAAGTGCAGTGAAAAAATTAGAAAATCCAATAAAATATTTTTGAAAATAAACAAATCTTTAATAAATATAAATATAGTAAACTCTGCTAACTCAGACTAAGATGGATGAAGGTTGTCCAAGTTCACAAAAGTCTGAATTAGCAGAGTGTTTTCTCTGAAAGCATAGATGTACAGTACAGTAATTTATTATGATCAGCTCCATACAGAAATTTTACCGAGCCAAGATTATACTGCTGAATTTATTATTACAGGAAATGAACTAAAAAACTTTCATAACAATACAATATACAGCAATGTATAGTCTTTAGTAACTTACTTACTGTAGTAATATAATGCATGATATTGCAAAGATTTCTGGATATCAAAAACACTTGTTAATTATTTTTCTACCATCAAGAAATTTTAAATTACTGTTTTGAAAAAATTTGTTTTGAGTTAGCAGGGATTACTGTATTTTAAGAAATTAAAATTACCAACCTTGCATTAATTCTCCATACAATTTTTCACCAACATTAATTTCTTCTGTTTCAGAACTCGTTAACAATGTTACTACTAAAGTTCCATCTGCATTGCATTTGTTGATAATCATTTTTATTTCATTTTCACTTGTAAAGTCAACAAACTTTTTCTGCTCATCCTCTGATAGAGATGGTGGAATTTCATGTAATGAGCATTCAACTGCTTGAGCTGGAATATTACTTAAATCTTCTGTAATAACTTTAATCTAGAAATAAACAAATTTTGAATTTATANTTATGTAGAACCTAATCCTATACCTCACTGTAAATATGGGTTCGTTTTACGCCAATTTGATTTGTGCCGGCTTTTGTAGGAACGGAATTGCGGCATAAACCGAGGGCTACCTGTAATTATTATTATTATCAAGCACATTCTATAAAAACATGGATTTTTTTCTGAATTATTTTCATGCCATATCAAATTAAATGATTATAGCAGTTGATCTAGAAATACAGGTGAACCTTGATCTTTTGGATAACTTGTTCTTTCATACATACTTTGATACTTTGTGGCAGTTTCTACTAGTTTTGGTTTCGATAACAACAAAATCACTTATGAAAATTAATTTTCATCCTTTTTTTTATGTTTAATTTGTGGTTTTAGCTTTTTAAATACAGTCGTTAATTAGCCAAAGTTCCACATTATCCAAAGTGAGCCTGTAAGTGACCACACTACTTTTCTTATAATGTAATTTATAGAAGACAGTTTAAAATAACATGTTTTTACAAAATGATTTCTGTTACTTTTTATCATTTAACTTCAATGTGAGATAAATCATTCATATTAAAATATAACTACAATTATACACATTTTTTTTCTTAAATACATTGTATGTACATATTAGGTAAATAATAAATGATATGAAAGTTTTTGTTTTTATGTAGTATAATTAAATTCATTAAGCTATAAAAAGAGACTTAACAGTTATATTATATAAACCTTTTATATTCATTTTTAATTCAAAATGATAATGACTATCTATTATATCTGAATTTTTGGTTGTGAGACATAGCATTGGTCCACATTACCTAAGATAATTGGGGTTCTACTATAATATTTCAACTTCTGTAAAAATTTCTAAGAACCCATTATATCCAAAAGCCAAGGACTGCCTATAGTTATTGTCACCACTTCATATACAGTAAGACCCCACTTAACATGGGGATGCGTTCCTAGATGACAAAGCACTAAACAAAACAACATTAAACAAGGTAATTTTAACATAGAGTAAATAGGGATAGGGAAACATGCGACCAAAAATAAAAAACTTTAATTTTAAGTTATTTTTATATTAATTTGTATAATAATATATGTTAAATAACACAGAAATGTATAAAAATATATTAATTAGTTTTAATTTCTTTGAAGTATTTTCATATAAAAGTTTATGTACAGCTCTCTTTGTTAGATTTCACTGATAAAAATATATTAATTAGTGTTAATTTCTTTGAAGTATTTTCATATAAAAGTTTATGTACAGCTCTCTTTGTTAGATTTCACTGGACATATTTTATTATTAAATTGTTATAGCCTAAGATGATTGAAATTATGAACACAGATGTTTAAACTCTAATAATTTATCAAAATAAATGATTAAAAGGAAATTTCACGAGTAGATAAAAGAATCTTTTTATATAAAAATGTTTAACTAGGCACAGTTCATTTTCTTTCTGAACACAAACTAAGAACTGAGATCAAGTGCTAGGTCAATAACATTGTTTTGGAGGCCATATACGATGATCACTTGCCACTACAACAGTAGCAACATTGCCATTTTGACCCACTGTATCTTAAAAATGAAATGATAAATATCTGACATTAAGTAAAATGACAAAGTTGAATCAAAATCAACCCATCAAATTTTCAGAATAAACTCAATTCTATAAGCCACATAGATGATGTTCTGTTTAAAAACAGGTATCTCTCATGCAACATGGTACTTCTACAAATGGTTTCACCCTAACATGGTTTGAAAATTAGGGATATCTCCTGTACAACACAATTTCCAGTTTTGCTTTCACATGGTTTGGAAAATCTTCCGTACAAACTTTCACACTTTTAAGTGTAAACTATGTTATTTGATATTTTTTTTTATTCAAATAAGCATGGGTGTCATCTCAAATTTGCCCACAAATTTTAAAATATTGAAATTTTCAATTTATTTTGTGCCTTTCGTCAGGCTTACTTTAATGAAAACTGATAGTACAATTTTTTCTTCCTTGTTCTAGCTTTCCTATGAACCAAGTGTCATCATTGTTGCTTTCAAATTTTAGCCTTTAAGACCCACTGTGTTTTGTTTTTATAGATTAATGTTTGTATTTAGTAATGTATATTTAAACATTTTTAGATAGGTGCTATTAAACTTTTTCTTTAATTGTAGGTAAGCAATCATTCATAAAATGGCTAACGAAATAGGGTAGTATCTTGGTACTTGCACAATTCAGTATTTGAACACAAATTCTGGAAAAAGTTGCTCAGTATTGGACTGGACAAATGCAACCCACTAGAACAAATTTCTGATTAACAACATATTTTTATTTCATCATTCATAAAAATTTTTATATCATTCCTATCTTGAGCAAGCAGTTTTATCACTTGGAAAGATCTTCACCTTAAGACTTGATATTCTATTCTAGTCTTCTATGACTCATTTTTCCCTTAACTTTCTTTCAAGTAATGTGCATATCCATGTCAAATTTCTAATGAGTATACATCCTCCTATATATATATATATATATATACACTAATTAAAGGCCTACTTTTCAGTATATTCACATTCCTAGATCAAATTTGATGTTTTCATAATCAATAATTTTCTTCACTATATGATGACTACGTTAAAATACAGTATGATTATAGCATGTACAGTAACTCCTAATAGCAGACAAACTTCTGTCCTGATGGTGTCTACTATTCAGAGGTTACACTGTATCTTTGTTTTTCCTCTATTCTGCTCATGATACATATAGCATTCATTGCCAGAACATCTCAAAGGTCTCCAGTTTAAATTTTTCTGCCTCTCAGAGTCCAGGTTTCTGAGCCATACAATGCTATACTCAACAAAAACTTTTGATGAAATGTTTCTAAGTTCTAATGATATATTATTTAATATCAACAGCACTCTCTTTTTATAGAAGTCTTGTTTTGCTTACACTATCCTAAAAGATACATCTCTTATACCTCCATCAGAGGAGATTATACTGCCTATGTATGGGAATGTCTTTGCCTCTTCAATTGTTTCACCCTCTAGCCAAGCATTTGAACCTTCTTGCCCTTTTCTGATACATTTCAATACCTTCGTCTTCTTATTAATTTTCATCTTGCATCTCTGTTAGATATTTATTGAGATTGGAAAGAGCTTGCTGGAGCGTCTCTTTGTCTTCTGATACCAGGGAAATATCATCAGTATATCATACTGTGAACAATTTCCCATTTATTTTTACTTCTGTTCTGTTGGTGGCAACAAATTCCTTCATAGATTCCTCCATGTACTGTACATATTGAATAGGAGCAGGGAAATCCATATCCCTGTAGTATTCCTTTCCTGATTTTTGCATCATCTTTCCTTCCTATAAATGCTGTCTGTTTTTATATAGTTCTAATATAATTCTTCTATCCTTGTAGTTAACTTCTAGTGTCTTCAGTGCTCTAAATACGATCTCCCAATTGACATTGTCAAAAGCTTTCTTGATATCAATAAATGCAATTGTGAGAATCTGGAGACGTGAGGCAATATTTTAGTTCAATTAATATGTGGAAGATAATAGATTGTGCAAGTTTAAATTCTCATGAGATTGTTAGTGACAAAAGGGAATAACATATCCCTGTTTAAAAATCATACCTCACACACAGAAAACACAGCTGCAGGTGTGAAGCAGCAATAGTTTTCCATCTCATAGGAAAGTTTTACACCTCCAATTGGAGAGGGGATTAGAGAATAAAAAGGGTGGAATCCAAGTCTCAGTATGAACACTCCCCTTGAAACTGCAGATCAAGGCTTGTCTGTCAATGCTGTTGCCCATCTCCACTCCAAAGTCCGTCTCCAACGAGAAAACTCACAACCACTACGCCGAAGCCGGCTCAACTATACGAGAAGACAACTGATCGTCCATCTACCAGAAATAGTATACTTAGATCTATGTAAACCAGCGTTTCTCAAAGTGGGCGATAACGCCCCCTTGTGGGCGCTGGAGGCTTTCAGGGGGGCAGTAGAAGGCTCAAAGAGAATTGGGGGACGTTAAGCAAATATAGAGGGGCGACGGCAGACAAATTCTATATATAAAAATTCGACGGAATATATATAAAATGTTGACATTTTATATATTTTTTATTGAAGGTCACAACTTGAATATTTCTAACACATTGACTTTTATTTTAGCTCAGAGTTTCTCAAAGTAAGCAATAACGCCCCCTTCTGGTGCGATGAATAGATCTATGATAGAGGCAGGGTATTGAATGGTGACCAAAGGCAAAATTGGGGCTGATAAGAGGAAACATTGCATTTAATGGTTTCCAGATGATGAGAACAATGTACAGTAAGGGCACAAAGTGTGAGATTCATAGAAAAGTTTTCCTAAGAATATTTCCAATCCTTTTCTCACACAAGAGAAAATGGGTTAGGGGGCGTTGGGTATAACTTTATGGAACAAAGGGGGCGGTGGATCGAAAAAGTTTGAGAATCACTGATGTAAACTCTCTCTCAGTATTTTAAAAGTGAAAGTAGTTAGTTAATTAGGTAGTTATCATACTAGAGATATGTTACTACTTATGTATGTAAATTCTTTTTATGTTTATCATTAAACTTTGTTATTTGTTAAACTGGCCTCAATTTGGAGTTCCTTTAATGGTGACAACTCTATAGACTTATCCGTGACCCCTCCCACTCAAATCCAAGCCATCCAGTGATAATGTGAGTGGGTTTTACCAGTCTGACACTGCAAACAGGGTTCAGCGTAGCAACCTCTAGCCCGTGGATTCTCACACAATTAACTTGTCTGTTAACTTAAAGAAACTGTTTGATTATCAATCAGATTACTTCTCATTCCCATTCTCTGTCAAAAATCCAGACTGATCATCTAATTAAGTTCTATTCTTTCTTCTAATCTTTGATAAATTACACAGCTTGTACAGACTCAAGTTCTGCTATCAGTATTTCTCTGTCTTCTTTTTCTTTTTGAATCTATAGCATTCTGCTCAGATACAATACACAGACACGTTTCACTCATTAACATCAAGGTTGAAAAAACACAAGGCAACAATAAAAAAAAAAAACAACCAACTCACAGCATTAGCAGCTTAAACTATAGACAACAAAGTTGAAGTCAATTTAATGAAGCCAAGTAAATAAAACTGGTGTGGGATACAGCCACACCACGTGGAGGGGCTTTAAATCTACAAAAGGTCCCTATTCCACAACATAGGGTCTGTCCATAAATTAAGTCTGCATTTTTCTTGAAATTTTTACTCCCCCATCCCTCTTGTTACAGTTTGTCCAAGTTTCCTTAACCTCCCTCCCCTCTTAAAACCTTTATCACTTTATGAATGATAGATACCATAAGTAGAAATGAAATATACAAGAAATTTTGAATATAATAAAATACATAAACTGTATAAAATTGAATGAAACAAACAGATATCCACTGAAGCTCCAACCCCTCCCTCCCTTCCAGTGTGGACATCATTTATGGACAGCTCCATAGTCAATTTCAAGATATAGACTATCTTGAATGCATGGAAATTACACTATAAAATAACCTAACAGCAAAATATATATGCACAACAGATGATTCTTAGTCATGTATACAGCAGAGCGTCGTTTATCCGAATCAATTGGGGACTGGGGTTGTTCGGATAACCGATTATGTATGAAAAATATATTAACCTATCCCATGTTGAAAATTTTCTCCGTTGTGAGTCACTTCACATTGAATTTTCAGTGATGTTAATCCCAACGTAAAATTTTAAAATAATAATCATGGCTATTGTATCGTTAAAAATTATTTCTTTATTTTGTACAAACAAAAAAATTATATTTTGAAGTTAATATAGTATCAAAAACATTTGATTCAGCATGACAAGTCTGACTGGAATGCTTTCAGTTAAGCGATGTTTCGGTTGATTGGCTTTCAGATAAATGACGCTCTACTGTATTTATCTTATGTTATTTGAAATATATGAAAAATATGATAAGTATCATATTTCTTTATTTATTTATTTATAAACTTAAGTAATGCGCATATCACTTTCTACACATCAACTGTATTGGGCATTCTATAAAATTTGAACTTCTGTTTCAATGCTTAATTTTTCTGTGATTCAAATTACATAACCTGACAATGATTGTTCAACCTAAATAGATTCATTTCTTCTGAAGTTTTAAGGTGTGTTATTTGATTTATCATTTCCTCAAGTATTTATGTATTTATTTTAATCTACATTCCTTACTTATACATAAATAAATAAATAAATATATTATCAAATTCAGAGGAAAAATATCTGTATTGTAAATGTCTTTCATATAAAATCTAAAACATTATTTTTATTAAAATTAACAGAAAATAAATGAATTTTCTATTATTATCCAAAGTTTAACAGAAATATAAAATTATTCATTATTTCATCAAATAACTGAGATAATTTGAAATAAATGTTTTCTTAATGAATACATTTTTATTCTGAATTAATTATAAATGCAATATTTTTTAAAATTAGCATATGTTAAAATGTCATTTATAGATGTCAGAAGAAATATCTAATCAAAGTACATGTGGCTCAATATAAATTATTATTATTATTATTTAATTATAAATACAATAATGGACCAAATACCCAGCTTCCAGAAAATCAGATATTTTTGAAACTGGCTAGTTTTGAATTTGGTGAGCTGTAGTTTAGTGTGATTTTGTTTTGGTTTCCATGGCATATGCATCACACAATGCCAGTTCCAGCAGGACCACTATAGCATACAATGTGTTAAATAGTTTGGTTTTACTATAGCTTGTTTATTTTATATTTTAATACTATATTTTGCCTGTGTCCAGAAAACTGTAAAATCTAGATCCAGAATTCCAGTCCCAAGCTTGCTGGATAGTTGATCCAGTACTGTACTGAATTAACTGTTTATACAGTAGCCTCCTATTATATCAAGTATAACAGGAGACAAACCAAATGAGCAAATCAAATGGTGTGATATAACCAATCTATTTACCCATTTTGTCTATATTTCATCTCCATGATGACCTACTTTTTTGTGGTTTGTATTTTTTTTAAATGGTAATTTCAAGGTAAATGATTGGATGCTAGTATAAATTCAATAGCAACAGATTTTTTAAAAATTGCTGAATAAACACTTTTATATTTGGAAGACAAGGGGGAAAAAATGATATATCTAGATGAGCAATATAACATGTTATGACATAATCAGGAGCTACTGCATTACTGTATAAATCAAAATATTTCTTTATCTTCGTTAACAAAAAGTCTTACCTGTGAGAGAGGTACTATGTCACTATTTCCATAGTCAATAAACATTACTTCTGCTTGATCAGCATCACAACTTTTTATAACTGCACGATACCATTCATTATCAACAGTATATTTTGCTATACATAATGTGTTTATTTGAAACTGTGTTAAATTTTCTGAATCATCAGATAATTCATTATAATATGTAGTTATACTGTTAGTGATTTCATCTAACTTTTCACTGTCATCAAGTAGCTGACACCAAAATTTATATGGACTTTCTACATATGATATTAAAACATCCATTGATTTATTTATTTTATGAGAAAGATCTGCATTTAAAAATGTTATTCTGACTGGTTCTTCTGATGTTGGTGGTATATAATCATCTGATGGAGAAGCCAATCTATCTCTAATTAATAACTGTGATATACTTTTACCATTACTTTCAAGATCCACTACATATATATCATCAATAAAAGAATTGAAAGTACACATAATTTTTCCAGCAAAATATTTCTGTACAAGATCTTCATTCACTTTGTAATCAAGACATTTAATGCCATTCAACTGGCACTTAATGGCTTGAATTGGAAGCGATGCAAATTGTGGAAGGATATATTTAATTCTTTTTCTACCCACTACTTCTTCATTGCCATAATCTATATAACGAACACCAATTTTGTTTCCTTCTACATACACAATCTTTGCTCTGTACCAAGCTTTATCTTCACTAAACTGAGCTACACAATATAAATCAACATTTGGTTTTTCAATAACTGCTTCTAATTCTTGCATTTTACTATAAGTTTTTTGAACAGAGACCATCATTTCCTCAAAATCTGAACTGTATGATGTCAGTTGACAATAAAACCTTTCTACTGTAAATACCCAAGTAACCGTAATTTCTAATCTATCTCCTATTTTTATTATTGCATGTGGTATATCTGTTTGAACAGAAAGAGAATAAGGTAATTTCAAAGATGGTGCACTATCTTGAGGCTCCTTTATATCATGGCCAGTCTTTAAAAATTCTTTATTAACATTAGCTTCTGTCAATGCATTTACAGATAATAAAGTTACTGAATAAGTATTTTCACTATGCTTATTTAAAAACTGTGCCAAGAAACATTTATCTTGTGTCATATTTTTAAACAAACTGATATCTTCTTCATTCCAAGATGATTCTTTAGCTTGTATACCTTGAGAATTACATTTTAAAATCTGCATTGGAACTTTCAGAAATTCTGGTTTTAAAACTTTAATATCTTTCAATAAAACATTTTCAAAACAACCATAGTCGACACAAAAGACATTAGCACTATCTACAGTAATGCTCTCTATTTTACCTCTACACCAATTATTATCTTTGGATAAGATGCAACAAGGTTTTCCTATGTGAATATTTTCTAAAATATATTCACCATAATTTATGTTTTCATAAAACTGTGCAAGCTGCTCTGTCATTCCCAATAATTCATTATTGTCATCCATAAATCTACAATAAAATTCATTAGGATTCACCACATTAGGAACATTAACATACCTAAAATCACCAATTGTGATTTCAATGTATTTGAAATCAGTTAAATTTTCTAAAGAACCTTGTTGTTCTTGATTTGTTGATCTAGGTGATCTTTCATTTTTGTATGCTTTCCTGTTGTTTGAATTCAAAGTAGATTCATCTCCAGAACCATGATGATCATTATAGTGCCACTGATCCGGTTTTGATTTGCCTCTTCTTTCCTGTGCAGACTTTAGTCCACCATTGTTCCAAGTATTTCCTTTTGACCAAGAATTATTCTTTCTTTCATCTGGCTCATTTCTAAAATTATTTGATTTATCATATTTAGAAAATCTCTTCTCTCTAGTATCATCAGTTTTCGACTTCTTCCAATCTGAGGAAAATTTATTTTCATTAGACGAAAACTTTGAGGAATCATTTGCAGAATCTAGACCATCATTCCACAAATTATGTGAAGTACATTTTATTTTAGATGAAAATTTTGAAGAATCAACTGCAGGTTCTGCTTCATCATTCCAGAAACTATGAGAATTATTTGCCATCGTTGTAGTTTTAGTTGGTTCTTCCCATTCATTACATGCATATTTATCATTTTTATCATTCCAGTTATCATAGTTTGAAGAATTCTTATTTTCATCAACTCCAAAATTTTCATTCCAGTTTTCTTCAGAATTAACATGAAGATTTGTTGTTGTAACACTTTCATTAATCATTAAATTTTGAAATTTTTCACTGATCTTATTCTCTTCACTATCAAGAAGTTCCACCTTGTATACTCCAGATTCTACACCTAAAAATATAAAAGTCATTAATTAAAAATTCTGTATTTCTAAAAAAAAAAAAAAAAAAACAACAATTTCAATTTGCATTACCTTTCTTAAAATCTATTTTATTGATGGACCTTAATCTTAATTTTAAAATCAAATTATTTTATATTTGAACCTAGAGCTAATATCAAAGCAGCAATTATTACTTACTACTCTAAAATTAACTCAAATTAAACAACTACTGACTTTGACTATAATATAAAAGTAATCATTTTTATCATAAAAACATAATTAAAACTGAGATAAAATGACTTAATTATTTTATTTATCCACATATCCACAAAAAATAGCTATTTTTGTATAGATTATGTGAATACCCTTTCTGGAAAATTCACACTGTTTCAGTCTATTTTTAGTATAGAATATGAGAACTCCATTAGCAGGACATACAGAAAAGCTATTCAACCTTCAGAAAAAACTGATAATTCAATTAATCATACAGAGTTTCCTTCTTGTATGTAAACTTATGCAATTTCTTAAATGTAAACCATACAATTTGTGAATATCATCTTTCATATAAGTAAATTTTCTTTCATTATTAATATTAGAATATATATATAATCCTTAATTACTGAAAGGAAGGAATTCATTCAACAAGGAATAAAATGATTAGCATGATTTGATTAGGAAAAGAATAACTACAAAACAGTTATTTCTTGAATTTCAATAAAGTATTTGTGATTCAAAATAACAGAAAATGCTTATTCCATATTCAAATTATACATGTATATAAAAGGGATATTTTAGAATAAACATCTTGTAATCATTCAAGTACATAAATTTCTGTTAATCAAGATTTAAAATGTAACCAACTAAAAAAGTTTCTTTGCTTAAATTAAACAAGATGATAGCAAAAAAGTTCTTCTTCGTTACAGTAAATTAACACTTTCAGGTCTTACCATTATGTGTGGATGACATTTGTTGACCTATTTTAAAATCTTGTATGTTTGAAAATGAATAACTTTATGGTTTTTATAACTAATCCATATTAAAGATCATTTATTCCTGTTTAATTAATATATAATAAGTAAGTATTTGTTGATACAGATTTGATTGTTCATAATATAAATATAGGGTGTCCCAAAAAAATGTATATACACTTTAACAGCTGATAGCTCAATGGATGCATTTTTATTTCCATGTTAAACCCATTAGAATTAATAATGGAAGTCAGACTAAGCTTTGTACAAAGGAAATTTATTCTAAACTGCTACTGGAAGTGTGAAAGTGCAGTTGAAGTGCAAACACAGTTTAGAAGGCTACATTCAAATTAAATGGTACAATTAACCGCCACAATTGCAACTACTGGAGACCTGATAATCCACATGTTGCGATAGAACATGATGTTAATTTATCAGGAGATATGATGCAGCTTATTATCAAGAGGATTAATTGGACCAATCTTTTTTGATACTACTGTGACTGGTCCCATTTACTTGAACAGTCTGTCATGCCAAGTATTAGAGAGGACTTTAAAGATGAGTTTTATATTCAGCAAGAAGGGGTACCCCCACACTATTATCATGATGTTAGATTGTACCTTAATGAGATCTTGCCAAACAGGTGGATTGGAAGAAGGGATTTTGTAGAATACCCTCTGCATTCATAAGACCTCACACCACTAGACTTTTTTTCATGGGGATATTTAAAAGACAAAGTCTACATTATGAAACCTGCAACAGTTGCTGAATTGAGAGCAGCCATTAAATGAGAATGCGCACAAATACCAAACAAAACATTTCATGACTTTTGCAATTCCATTGCTTCGCGTTGTCAGCAGTGCTTGGACCAGAACAGATATCAGTTTGACATTGACAAAACAATTAAATAATGTCTGTAGATTCTATTACATTTTGAAAATGAAAAATTTTAATAAACATCAACATTGTTGTTGTTTAAAGTGTGTATACATTTTTTTGGGACACCCTGTATAATGTATACAGATGCAAACACCAATTTTTTTAGTGTTTATTTATAATTGCACCATTTGAAAAATGCACTCTCAATTCTGATTGGGGAATTCATTTAGTGTTTCCTGTCCTCTGAAAGATATATGAAGTTATGTGCAATGAAATTTTAGTTTTGGTTTCATTTATATTCAATTTCAATAAATATGCAAATTTGCATACTACAAAAAAAGTGCAGTAATCTGCAATAATTTGATGTTTTTACTTATTTACTTTATGTATTTACATTTTAAAAAAAACAGATCATTAAATTATTTAATAATAACAGTAATAATTTCAACAATAAAAAAAGCAAAAAAAACTTTTGTTCTGAAAAATTCAATAAAAGTCAGAAAATTGTGATATTGGTTTCATAGTTTGATCTTAAAATTTTTTCAGTAACTGGAGCTAGAATTATACCACTTACAGAAGGATGATTGCCATAGGAAATGCAAGCAGACACATTTAAACCAAAAGTTAAAGGAAATTATAGGTACAGTACATTTCCAGGTGCTGTATCTTGACCAGAAAGTGTTAATTACAAGTAATATTTTATAACAGCATTTCCCAAACATTTCAGACTACAATCTCCTTTTAATGCATATATTTTTTATTTTGTTTTTGTCTGTTTCAAAACGAATCTTGTCTGCCTTATCTTCCAACACCCACACCCCCTTGCCTTCTAATGCCCCTTGTCAAAGTGGCAATTATCACCCATTTTGGGAATCACTGCTTTACAAAATAAAATAATTTTTGATTTTATCAATTGCTAAAAAAAAAATCATCATCTTTAGTGTATTGTAATTTGCTTATACATATATCCAGAAAAACATTTTTAATAGAAAATGCAATTTTAAAAAATTTATTTATTTTATAAAACTGAAACTTGATAAATATGAATATTTTAATTCAGATTTTATCAAAAATGAATATTAATAATTAATAACATACCTTTAAAAACAGCAGTAAAAGTATTATTTAAAACAAGATCCCTAAACTTTTTTATCATCTCTGGTACAATGTTTCTAAGATCAACATTTGCCAATGAACATTCCACAGCTTTAAAAGACACATTTAAAAATTCTGAAGATATTTTCTTTACATTAGATTTGTTTGTAGTCTCTTTGTTACCATAATCAACAAAAAATACTTCTACAGTATTGGGTGGGAATGTGTTGATAATTTTGGCTCGGTACCAACTATCATCTTCACTGTATTTTGCAACACAAACCATTCCAACAACACAATTGTCAATTACTTCTTTCTGCAAAAAAAATATAAATATAAAGTTCATTATTTTTGTCCTAATGAAAATGAAATATTAGAAAATAAAATTTATTAAAATTTACTAATAACCAAAAACAGTCAATCAGAAGGATTGACTCAGCAATGACTTTGCTTCTATCTGGTCTGACTTTGCTTTTAAATGCAAATTGAATATTGAATGTAGAATAACATTAAGAATATTTATTGGGATTATTCCATTTGATTTATATTGGGTTATTGTTCCTTATTTTTAAATATGCATATAGGCAATATAATCCGATACAACTTAGGATGGAAGTATCCCTTCCCTTACAATGGGATTCTGTTCCACTTCTCTCATCATAAGTTAAATTTCATATGTATGCAATCATATAATAAATGTTGTAGTTATAACTGCTACTTGACAAAAGAATGAAGGAAAGTAACAAAAATATTTCATACAATAGTCCAAGATTTTCAAAATTTAAATGTAAGACTTATTAAATGATATATAAATTGTAAAATCAGAAGATATATTTCACAAAATTGAGGAAGGATGATGACAAAAAAAAAACCAATATCAAATGAAAAATGTATTGTAGAATAAAAAAAAATGATATTTCAACAGTTGATTTCAAAATGTAGTGTGTGAATATGGGGGCGTAAGGCTCCCGTTCACTTGTCAGGATGATACGTCAGGCGAGTGAGAGTTGCTTGGGGTCGACAGTAAGGTGAAAGACGAGATCGAATAAAGGAGTCTACCATTTTTTCCATAACAAATATAAAATAACAATTTATTAAGAATAGGCAAAATGACAAAAGACTACACAAAGCTCGTTTCTATACCGACCTAGAGAGAGTTTCACAGTTCTTTCATACCTCTGTATACCTTGACGATTCTGAACGATCCAAGGGTTATAATCCAGTTTCGGCACAAATTATATAAAAGCACGACTTAAGCGATGCTTTACTTCGAGGTTCATCGGAGATCGGAATTCAGCAGGTTCGGAAGATCGGCGCAATGTCGTCTATCCGGCGTTTGTGAAGAGACTCCCCGCGAGAGGGGGTAAGAACGGCCTTTTATCCGTTTTAGTGGGGAATTTCCACCACGTGATCGGATGTACATGAGTTAAAGGTTATAGGTGTTCCTAGAATCAACAACAAATGACGACATTTAGATGCTAACTATCAACCTTTTTGCAAGATGAGATGCAAGTTCTGCAGAGAACAATGGATGTTGCTATTTATGACTGGAAAGTTTACACAATCCCGGGCAAGATCGTTTTTTTCTTCTAAGGCGTTACATAAACAAAAGTTTAATTAATTAACATTTTTGTTAATAAAGGATCGGAATGTTCGTCAATAAATAAATAATCCGGATCTCACAAGTGCATGATCTGAGGATCCGAATTCGGACTTCTCATGTGTTTATATCATTTCACATTGTAGCCATAATTTCATTCGACAACTGTCAACTTTTACACCTGGGAGCTAAACATCTGCTAAGTTCTCAGGCATAATAACGACGCTTTCTCAGCACCTTTCGACCTAATATCTTCGTTTCAACAATCCAACATGAAAAAACCGACAACAAAGTAGCAGTCGTCGGCCGTCTTTCGAAAAGAGAAGTTGTCACTAGTACCTTGTCCTAAGTGCCTTACTATTCGAATGTCTACAAAAAGATCATCGGAAAAATTGACTAACACCCTTGCGGATACTGTTCTATCATTCTTACGGATACTTCCTCTACCAGACTGACATTCCGAACTTTCTTCCCTTCACCAAGACCGCTTGAGAATCTCCATCAAGACAGCAAAAACAAAAGATATTTATCGCCACGCGAAACTTCTGTAAACTCTCTCTCTCGAGGAACAACATAATATCTTAATATCTTAATACTTTCAAATCAAGAGATGTATCTAACAGCAGCCCTAATGTATTGCCTATCGTTAACCATTAAACAGTTATTACGTTAAAAAGCGTCTGAGTAAATCACTTCTGGTGCGTTGTCTCTCCTTCTATCTCGACTCTGATCGCTTCGTTACGCGACCGCTCGCGTGACCTAAATAACACGGCTTCCGTGTCCGCCGAGACGCGGTGGTGTCATCCTGACAGGGCACCAAAGAGGTGCCGACCCTTCAGTCACAATATCATTGTAAATATTGAGGAAAATTTCAAAAATTAATAACTCACTAAAAATTCTTTTCAAGCATGATAGAATACTTTTTATGAGAAAGTAGAGATTGAAGAATTGAGAAGCACTTCAAGTCGAGCTTGATGTTGTGTTGCTGTTTCTGCTGCTCTTGACAAAGCTATTCATACTCAATGTTACTCAAGTTGGACTTCATGGTCTTCTGGGTTTTGTGGTTGTTATTCTTTTAGATCTACAATTTACCTGACTAATTTTACTCTTATGCTTCCCTTGGGTTTTTTTTTGACAAAATAGTGAGTCATTTTAATTCCATATTGATAAAGCAAAGATGAATTGTATGTACAGTCAGATGAGTGATAACACTTTCTAAATAATTAGCTCATTAGATTGTTACTTTTGATTAAATAACAATGTCACATGGTCACTAAAGATTTTTTTTAAATTTGTTTAACTTAAAAATTTAAACCCTATTTTTATAGTTTAAATTTAATAAAGTTAAAGATATGCCATTTGTCAAAATATTTAAAAATGCAACTTAAGAGAAATTTCCTTGTCAAGCACAAATGTCACTACAATGTAAGTACAATCATCAATCAGAAATCAATAAAATGTTTATTCTATAATTAATATTTCTGCAAAATAAGTAGTCTATACTTTCCATTGGAATGTAAAAAGAATATAATCAAAATTTCCTCTGGATTGGACAAAATTTGCAGGCATTATAAGGAATTCACACACACACACGACAATTTTTATATTATTTAATTACATACATGATATATTGTATAAATTAGAGCAAAATTACTTACTAATTTAAATTATAATACAGCACAAGTAACGTTAATTTGTACTTTAAAATATGTTTAAAGCCTTTTCACATTGCAGATATGTAATTACAGTAAAGCATTGATTATCTGAAACAATTCGAGACTGGAGATGGTTTGAATAATCGATTTTTCGAATAACCAATTATGTACGAAAAAATATATTAACGTATCCCATGTTGAAATTCGTTCAAATCCTGGTGCGTCATTAGGTACCCTTTCATGATCACGCCAATGCTGCCAGCTAAAACACACATACCAACAAAAATAATATTGGAGTAGCCCAAGATATAGCCAAAGATTGCAGCACCACAGCACTAGCAAAAATTTAAATTTGCCAACTGGAATTTTTTCAGATAACCAACGTTTCAGATAAATAACGCTCTACTGTATTTAACTGCAATATAATACTTTAACAACAAAAATCTGTACAATATCAATGTATTTGCTATAAATTTCTCTAAGCACTATTAGATATGAGTTAATACAGTAATAAGTTTTACTATCTAATGTGTATTTAGATTTTCAAAATCTGGAAATAAAAAATTTGTTTGCTGGAGAATGTTTAATACAAGTATAAAGTACAGATGCACAAAGAATAGAGAATAATAAGGGAATCCGAACACACATGAAAGTTGCAGAAAGCCAAACAATAGACATGAGTAAAAGGAGAAAGAGGTTAGAGAGTGAATGATGGAACAGTACTTGGAATTTGAGATTGAACTTTAATCTAGTACACTATAAATTCCAAGGTACTTTTATTTTGGAGGCAAAATTCTACCAAATAAAAGACTAGATTCTAATAAATGCAAGTATATTATTAGGATATTGCATCAAAAAGCAATATATAATATCCTTTTATTTGACAATCAGATTAAGCTTACATTGGAAAAAATAATCTGCAATTATATTCATTATGGAATAAAATTCACTTACTACAAAATACATACAAATATTTTTCCATCAAGTACACCTTTCAAAATAGGAGTATGCCAACAAAATTCTTTAATTTGAATACATATGCAAGTTAATTCATCAAATTTCAAGCAAATTTTATCCCAATTACACTTGTAAATAATAGTAATTGTAACTCTCTACAATCTTCTTGTTCTAAATACAATATTCCTCCTTTGATCTGTAATAAAGCATCCAATATCACAACTAATATTTTATTTATTGAAATGATTCCATTATTTATATATTTTTGTGCTTATAACTGATGATGGAGTGTAACCCACAGAAAATTTCTACAACAAAAATGAAACCTTTCCATAATCCATAATATACTTCTGCATCAAAAGTTGAATGGACAGATCCATTTTCAGCACACCTCTCATAACAAATATCTCATCTTTGGGTTTCTTTTATGACTAAATAAAAATTACTAGTTCATTAAGGAATTCTAAGTTTCTCTCATAAAATTTCCTGGAAAATCTTTCTTTGACATTCAGTTATTCAGTAAGCTAGAATTCTCAAAGTGCTAATAACAAAACCAATGAGTGCTAATAACACTCACTATGTTAAGGTGAGTATTAATAACTCACCCTAATATGGAATGGGTCAGTTATATATTTAAAATCAGTATATAATCCATCCCATCACATAATCCATATCCTCTTTCAATTTTTTTTTTTTTTTTTTTGAACATAGATAACCCATGAGCTATACAGACAAAAATATGGTACAGTCACTTAGATTTTACAAATATGTGAGCTGTTCACAGCCCGGCACACATATTTGTAAAATCTAAGTGACTCATACAACATGAAATTCATGTAAAATGGAATTATCAACAGTGTTATAGAGGAGTTGACTGTACTATAATTCTGTGAGAGCCGAACTAACCCTCAGTAAAGTGTTATTTTCAATTTTATTTATTGGAACTTTAATCAAGTAAAATCGAACGTTAGGCTGAAAGCCATAAAACTTATTTCCCACGGAGTTTGTTCCTTGTTGAATCAGATCAAGTTAGTCAGGGATGTGTCACCAGGAACTTTTGATGGAGAAGATATATTGGATGTGCGACCGTTAATAGCCATCATCTGACCTCAGGGAAAAACCCCAAGAGGAATG